TATTGAATGGGGATCTGATCGCATTTTCCGTGACGAGGACGTATGTGCTATATCTTTGAAAATATCAATGGCGTTTTTCTTCAATTCGTAACGAATATTTCGCATGCAAGAGCCAATTTTTACAATTGCAAAACACTAGAAGTATCAAGCAGTTATTATTTATCGTTTCTATTTTTTTAAATTAATACTTTTTTCTCGTATCACAGATAGAATTTTAAATTTTTCTGACTTTCTAATATTCGGAATAAAAAAAAAAAACCAATTGATGAAAAGTTAGAATATTCGAGAAAACATTTTTAGCACGTAAAAAAATTTTATTAATTTAAAAAATAGAAACGTTTAAAAAGAATCGCTTTACTTCTAATGTTAAGTAAAGCTTAAGCGTAAACGAACAAGGATACCATCGTTTCTATTTTAAGCTTGCATTTGAAGCCTTAATCCGACATTTGTGTCGAATGCGATTCTGGAATCGAATTGCAACTTTTGGTTCAAAACGCAAAGTTGTTCAAAGTTGATCTAGTCCGCATTTCCGTCGCGATAGCCGGGATCGCGCGAATCGCAAACGCTCAGAGATCGATCTCGAGAAAGAGAAGGGAAAACGGAAATTGCGCTACGTGCTCTCATTGCACTGTTTCCCGTCGAAGGAGCCGCGCGTGCATAACGATCCGTGAATGAACGAACAAGCGGAATGAATGACAAGGCACGAAAGGTGAGAGCGAGAGAAAGAGTGACGGCGCGTAGTGACAGAGCACACACCATGAGATTGTTAAAAACGTAAAGTAGAGAATAAAAGAGCAATAAAGTGTATCGAATGATTAAAATCTTATTACGACGGAAACGTACGACGATCGGGGATAAAGAATTGCGTCACATAAGGAACTTACAGGAGAGCAGGAGGATGGGTACCATTATCCTATTCTTCAAAAGTGCAATACAATTTATTAGGTCCTCAACCTTTCGTAAAAAAATAGTTTTAACTGTTTAATACATTTCGGAATACATTTGTATATCAAAATATACAAAAAAATAATTTCATTATAAAAGTAATTAGTGATCGAAAGAATTGACCGAATATGATACGTGAGCACGTCAAAGGCTTAAATAAAAATTGGATGGCACGTGGTACGCGCATCTTGGCAAAGACAGTCTTTCGTTTCGGACATCTGAGAGAAGACATCGCTTATCCCGAAAACGCAGGGATACCGGTGACTGCCCTCCCGAGGATCAGTGCGTGAATATCGTTTGTACCTGTGAACGATAAAAAAAAAAAGTAGAAGATAAAGAAACGGAAGCAGTCTCGAATTGCGCGATCCGATTAATGACGTGCTAAACGATCGCCGATTTTCTCGGGACCGATCTTCGCGTACCTTCGTAGGTGTTCACCGTTTCCAGATTCATCATGTGCCTGATCACGTGGTACTCGTCCGAAATCCCATTTCCGCCCAGCATATCTCGCGCGGTTCGCGCAATCTCCAGCGCCTTCACGGCCGAGTTTCTCTTTATGATGGAAATCATTTCCGGCGCGGCTCTACAGCATGTAAAATACATTCCTGTCTTTCTTACTCGTAGCGCGAGCATATTCTTCATATATATATTGTATATTATTATTTACGTATACTATCGTACTTTATTTAGTTAAATAACTATATATATATATATATATATATATATATATAAAATATAATTTTTTATTTATACATATTTATATATATTATTATATTTTATATATATATATATTTAATGTTATATTGCGGAAAAAGAAAACCGATCTGGAAACATTGAATTATTAGTCTAGAAGAAGCAAAACGTACACGGAGAAAAAATTGATATTGAGTCAATAGCATCAAATGTAATTGAAAATAATCTTGTTAATTCAATAGCAATATTAATATAAAAATATATGCGTTCATATTTTATTAATACTATTATTGAATAACAAGATTTTTTTCAATTACATTTGATACTGCCGAATATCAGCATTTTTTCCGCGTTAATTTTGAGCTAAAAAATGAATTAGATGTTTATTTTCGCCGTTCGAGCTCGAGCGAATCTTACTTGTTCTCGTCCTTCAATCTACCGACTCGCAAGCAGGCTTGGAGACCTAGCGCGATGTCGCACATCATGTCCGCCAATTTTTTCTGCACGAGTTGATTCGCCGCTAACGGTCTCTTGAACTGTTGTCTCTCCAGGGTGTAACCTCGGGCGATCTTCAGGCAGGCCTCCGCAGCGCCTAACGCACCCCAGGCGATGCCGTATCGCGCGTTGCTCAAGCAACTGAACGGTCCCTTTCATCAAGTTTTATTAATTCATTTCTCGTCAATGACAATTAAAATATTAGCCTTATCAGATAAAACAGTCATAAAAAATTAGCTGTGTAATTATTCTATTTTTTTTTTTATCGCTCCATTAACTTCCCTTTTAATTTTTAGAAATTTTGAGTGATATCAAAGGATTAACAGCGACAAGCGATCCATTGATAAAATTAAATAAAAATGCGTAATATACAAAATCAGAAGGTCAACTCGACTTACCTTGAGTCCCACAACATTCAACAAATTTTCCTCAGGCACAATTACATTGTCCATCAGGATCATACCGGTGATGGACGTTCTCAGAGAAAACTTCCCCTCGATCTTTGGAGTGGATAAACTATCTCCCGCAGCTTTTCTCTCAATGATGAACCCGCGAACATTACCGTCGTCACATTTCGCCCACACAATCAATACGTCGGCGATGGGCGAGTTCGAGATCCTAAGTGAAATTAGACGGTTCGATTACTAAGCCCATAATCGCGAAAAAATATCTTTCTCTAGACACAACAAAGAGTATAATTGCCAGTAAAACCAACCATGTTTTACTGCCGTTCAATTTGTAGACTTTTCTATTGGAGTCATAAGTCGCCCTAGTTTCCATCGATCCTGCATCGCTACCGTGATTGGGCTCCGTTAAGCCGAAGCAGCCGATCTTTTCTCCGGAAACTAAAATATACTTTGAAAGCTATCACCTCAACAGCAATCGTCATTTGATTTGAATTTTATTAATATTAATATAAACCTACATATTAATTCTATTAATTAATTTATTGTCAATGTCAATATGATCAGTAGACATTATTTCTATACAGAAAATATTTCCTATTCCCACTCTTTCGTCATTATCCAAATGAATATTCGAGTATTTTCCTACATAAAATTCTAATAATGCGGAAATCTTCTTACGGTTCAAGAAATTAAATTAGAAAATATATATAGTTCTGTCGCCAGGGAGTCGCTTGCACGTACCCATTTTAGGTAAAAATCGATCTTTCTGGGCATCGCTGCCGAACATGTAAATCGCACCAGCCGAGAGGGAGGACTGCACCGAGAATGCGGATCGATATCCACTGTCAACGCTCTCAATCTCTTTGGCGAGAAGCCCGTAAGCCACCGAAGACACCCCGGCAGCGCCGTAACCCTTCATGGTGCAGCCCAGCACCCCGAGCTGACCCATCTGCTTTATGATCTCCCGATCGAAGTGCTCCTTGCGATTTGCCTCGATCACGCCCGGCAGGAGCTGTTCCTGACAGTAGGAACGGAACTGATCCCTCATCAGGACTTCATCCTGCGTCAATTGCGACTGGAGATCGAATGGATCCTCCCAATTGAAGGCAGCTGACCCACGAAATTTATGTAAATGTTTTGTAAGAGACTGAATTAATCTCCAATGCGATTGGATATTCTTTTTATAAATTTCCTTTTATAATTTTAATTAGTAAAGATATACGAAAGAAGTCATAAAGTTTGAAATTAAAAATTCATAATTATATTAATAGAAAATATATCTCCATATTAATAGAAAATATACATCTATAGGCTGTTAATTCATTAATACTATTTGTAAATATTAATTACTATTAATTTTCTATTGGTATATATTATCTGGATAAAAAATAAACACAATTTTTTTGAACGATTTGAAAATTATTTAATTTTTAAATTTGCATTGATTCTTATAAAAAAATCTTGTATTGCAACATTAATAGAGAAACTAAATAGTAATATATTAAATAGTAATATTTAAGACATGTATTTTCTTTTAAAATTATTAATTTGATATATATAATTAATCATTTTTATATTTCATATATATTTAAATTATCAATATTTACAGTAACTCAAAATCTTCTATAACTATAAATTTAGTTTTTTTTGCGTCTGATTTCGGAATATATTCATTAAAAATAATATAAAAAAATTTTCTTATCCATTAGAAAAAATATTAATTACAAATATTTCTCTCATGAAAATATTAAGAATCATGTTTATACTTTATCTTCGTTATAATATAAATCTATTTATTTGATATTCCAAACAAAATAAATATAAGAAATATGTTTTCTTTAAATTCCAGTAACTTTTTTCTACTATTGCACAGCCAATACATCTTTACTATCGTTATTAAATTAACAAAATTATTTTTAATTAAACTTTAGTGGACTTATAATATTAATACATCTTTTTTTCCCATATAGAACACGTTATAATATCATAATAAAATAATGACAAAATGATAGATAACTTTTATCAGTATCAGTTATCAGTAATAGTTATCAGTAAAGATGACATAACAAAGTTACACATCAATGAAATGAGCTACCGGCTGAGTCATGTCTCTGTATTGTGCTACCATCTACATTTCGTGTCAAGATCGGAAACTATCAGTACAGATCAAGATCAGTAAAGATAGAGATCGCGGTAAAGATGATATCTGTCTTTTGTGATTTGATGACTTAAAGATATAGATATATTCTAAAATTAACTTGGTGACTTACGTCTCCCTCGAAGCGATGTAGAGGCAGAGATCTCTGATCAGGATTTAAGGACGAATACGACGAGTTCTGATTCGATTCACATAATTTTAAAAAGTAAGTCCTAATCAAATGGCTCTCTGACGGATTTGACAAAAGGATACGCCTTGTGGAATTAACGCGACACAAACGGCTAACTCTCACCAGCAAATGGCTCGCCATGTTGAGCAACGACTGATGATAACGACAGAACAACACTGCGATTTCGAGCTTATAAAAAAATATCCTGTTATCAGCCGCGCCTGAAGGCGTGTCTGCAACGAGCGATCAAGATTTTCTGACGTTTTCTAAGCGGTTTAACATAAATTTTCATTCGCTACTTTGGTGAACTTGGACCTCGACTACGCAGTAGCCGACGATTCAGCAGGTTCTTGCGAAAGCAACGTAAGAGTGAGTCATCACATAGCTATTGGCTGTGTTTTTGATTGGCTCAATAATAATTTCGAGGCAAATTCGAATGGTCGTTTAGTTTCTTTTTTAAATCGATGGCTATCTGCTTGATTTTCATCGACAAATCGTTTGAGTTTTAATGTTCATCCAACTTCAAATCTCTACAGTGCAAAAAAGATTCATCCAACTTCAAATCTCTGCAGTGCAAAATCATCAGAGATATTTTTTTCGTGTAGGTTCTACGTTTTATTTGCAAAAGTACTTACAGAAAAGTCATATGTACATTTCCGAAAATCCGACATTGCAGAATATTTTCCACAAATCGTCCGCAATATAAAAGAAAAAGGAAAAAAATGACAGGATGATAACAATGATAAACTTACACAATAAACAAACATTGAGAAGTAGTTCAAAGTACAACAGCTTTGTGTTATCGATTTACTAAAAAACATTAATTGCGTTAATATTAAATATACGATTGTATATACGATAATTAAGTGGACGGATGTTCATTTCGAATCAACATCCTCTATCTTCGACAATAAATATAACGATATAAATACATATTTCGCTTGTACATTGACGAGTACATATCTTATATTAACCCTAACTCTGTAAAAATGTAACTGCGTTACCGTTACTATTACTAATAAAAAAATATAAAGTCGTTACCAATTTGATACTGAAGAAAGTAATTGTAACGATAACGGCGTTATAAATAACGCGTTACCTTTGATTAAAAAGTGTACTGACAAAATTGTTTTGTCTGGCTTAAAATTTTTAAGAAATAACAAGTAATTATGCTTATATTCATAAGAAGTAATAAGTAATCATACTTATATAAGAGTCTAACAGAATTATAACAAAAATATGAAAATAATCACAAATTTTATATGAATTTTATAAATCATATAATTTGAATTATACATGCCAATGAATGCGCGGCGATCTTTAATCATAATTAATTTCCTATCAATTTCTTATCTATCAATTATTTCCAAAATCACAAAATGATACAGGATTTTTTTATTTAATTTAATCTTTTACTAGCACAAACGCTGTATTAAATATTAATTATTAGATATACCCTGAAGTAACTCATATGCTAAATCATAATATTATCTATTTTTATTTATATTAAAAATTATATTGTGTTTTAAAGTGTTCCCTTAAAAATTTCTTAGACCGATTTAACAGGGTCAAGGTTAATAATCATTTCTCTTTTTACATAGATCTTCCCATTAATAATTTCCACCCCCAGATAGACTAGAATTTTTAATTAATATTTTTCTGGACGAATCCCGCTCGTGTATTTAGATCATTAGATAATTGCCGTCCGGCGGTGCAAGGAGATTTCTCGTCCAAGATTCAGCAGTAGACGACAAAAAGGTCGGATTGCATTAATTATTGATTAACTTGCTACACGAGCTTCTTAACTCCAGATCTGCGGCTACCCCGCGACATGCGCATGAGTTAACATTATTATACTTCTACAAGGCCAGCACGAAAGACCTTTACACTTACTAGTATATTTAAGTAACGGTAGCACAGTAGTAGTACATTGTAGTACGTAATATATTGCAGATATAGTTTAACGGGAAAAATTATTTAACGCGCCATTATAACTTGAGCTACAAAAATATACCGCCTCGATTACGTGCAACGCGCATGTCGTGGTGTTCTCTCCGCCTATTTTAAACGTTTTCGGTATTTCGATATTTGTCATCAAGATATTACTATAGTACAAATATTATTTAGAAATTGTCGATATTGTTCAAAACCGGCCCAACATGGACTCAATAATGGGCAGCCCGAGCATCAGTGGCGAACATTGCTACTCCATTAAGTACAGTCGGATTTACATCGTCCCATTTTAAACTGTGCCAATAATGGGTATTAACAGTTATTGATAAAATAGTGTTATATCCCTATACTTGATTCTCGCTAACTTGGAATTTCGCAATATTGACAGCCAGTACTGATACAATTAAAAGGATACTCGTTTAGGCCCATTATTGATTAACAATCGGATTTACACTATCCTATTTTGAACTGCGTCAATTATATTAACAGTTATTGATAGAACAGTTCACTCTTTTGATTTTGATATTAGAACTTTGATCATTGATTGATTTGATTTGATCGTATTTCTACTTATTTTTTTATGTTCCAAGGGTTTTTCTCTAAAAATTTTTTGATATCCTTTGATATTGATTGAATAAAATTCGAAAGGGTCACGTTAATATATCATGTGATTGATTTTTTTCATTATTAGTTATTTGAACACTTTAATTTGCTCGAATTTGGCCGTTAATCCCCTCATACTATTTTGACAGAATAGCGTTACATCGCACTTGGATCTCGGTCGATCTAATTCTGGCTAAAAAGAATATCTGTCTGGGGCATTGGGCCGTTTTTAAATTTCTCACATGATGATATATGTCCGCATGTTGCGAACGCGTCTCGTAAGTATCTCTATAATTAAGCATCTCTCTCGTCGATTAACTCTAAAACGCTATAACACTACCGACATGTACTCCTCGCGCGATCGCTCGACGCATCGCAAACGCGTTCGAAAGAATGCGATGGCGGAAGAATTGCCATCGCACGCGAACTCGACAGCGAGGGGGGAGGAGGGGGGGATGGAACCCCCACGAACCCGTGTTGCCGTTGGAGTCGTCGAGTTACACGACCAGTAGGTCTTCCTTCTGGTAAGGACCGTCTGGTAACCTCTGATTGAACACGCGGATGTTGTGACAGAGATAGCCCAACGACTCTGTGATCGGCCGTATGATCGCCTGCGTCACCGACGCCAAGAAATTTCGCATCGCCGCGCACGTGATCTTCCACACGCGCAAACACGGCGCGACGCACCATATATGCTGCAAGGAACAACATACAGAAGCATCAGGAGAAGTCGAACGGGATAGAATAATAACTATTAGAATTTCAAAACTATTAGAATTTCAAAGGCAAAAAAATTTCTTTCCGAATCTTTTCCATTAAAATTTCTTCATTCGACCATTCAATCGTGAAAAAAAGAAAAAAAAAGAAAAAAAACACAAAAACAAAGAAGTTTTGCCCACTTTATTTATAATTGTTATTAAATTTCTGCGATTTCTGCTTTCTATCGATACAATCATTTACCGAGCAATGAAATTAATCGCGTTAACATTAAGCCATTTAAATGAAAAATAAATATTCTATAATCATTCCGCGACCCTAGTCGAATCTCTCGTTATGGCGCGACGTGTGTGCACTTCCATCCACACGTAATCGAAAGGTGTATACTCTCGTGATACACACGAGAGTACCCGGGATCGATCGGTAGAAATCAGAGAGAACGAGCGGGATCCCAGAGGGACGGACTTATCGACTCACCTGAAACGCGAGACAGGCGAACGTGAAACCCAAACACAGGGCGAGCAGGGGTGCCACGAGGACGGAGAGGAGTACGTAGCAGCATCCCCTGGAGAGCCGGAAGCAGTGGCCGCTGAGTCGCCAGGCACATTCGGGACTTCTGATTCCTTCCGGTTCGCCAATCACGTCATCCCACATTACCTGCGTAGGAGGCGATCAGGCTTGCGTAAAATCGATCGTATCATTAAACCGCCGTCGTGCGTACATGTTTGTGCGTGTGTGTGTGTGTGTGTATGTGTGTGTGTGTGTGTGTGTATATGTGTGTGATTAAATGATTATGCGATTATGCGATTTGATAAGCGCGATTATTTGTCGCGGATAAGACTATGAATAGCAGACAAAGTCAGCCTAAAGTCCCATTAGTCTATGCCGCTGAGCATCGATCCTTAATCATCTTCGCAGAAGTGTAAGTTGTGACTTTTAGGATTTTCGTTTCGCGCTGTTGCCCAGAAAAATTGGACAATTTAAAATTCTAAAAATTTAGGGAAAGAGAAAAAAGAACAATTGGTGGAGAGCGATTCACTGTCCCCTCCGATGATTGGATTACATAACAAAGGATAACAAAGATCGAATTCAAATTACAACAAATTACGATTCGCAATGTGATTTGAATTTACGCGGGACGCGAGGTAAGGTGCAATCTATCTAAAATCTTTCAGTGAGGTGCAAAGGTGTTTTGCGACAACAGATACGAGTCGCATCTGGAAACATCGATCGTGATGAGAGGCGGCTTTTACCTGAAGATGCTGATTCAGGTTGTTGGGATCCCGATCCTCGAGCTCGGTGGCACTCTCGCCTCCCGCGGAGGACTCCGGCTTCTCCATTCCTGGAATACGAATGCTCGGGCATTTGGGCATGCCGCAGCGGAAGCTGTTTCTGAATCTCGTCAGCACGGTTTCCCGAGAGGTCGTCATCACGCTCACTTTATTCCCGGCCGGGAGGGATGATCCCTTTCAAATTCACGCGCCGCCGACTCGCGGCTGCAGACAACGAAGAGCGGCTTTCCCTGCCACGCGGCGCGTCACCATCGCGAAAATGACGACTATCGCGAAGGTGTACCCCGGTGTACACGTATCCATAAGCCATCGATTATTCCCGTTAAATAATAAATTCGCGCGCTACACCGCTGGCTGCGACAAGCTGCGGAATCGCCCGCCCCCGATCGCGAGAAGAGGAGGAGGACGAAAGAGTTGCGATCAAGGGGTACGCGATCGCCATCCCAAGCGACGCGCGTCCACCGAGCCCGCCAAACGCTAAACGTCGGGGGTGGACCGGACGAGGGCGAGGGCAGAGGGGGCGGGGGGGGGGCTATGTATTTACGTGTACCTTGGCGTAATCACCGATATCGATTCGAGACGCAACGGGGCTACGCTTAAACTCTCCTTGCCTTGACTTCAACTGTTGCACCCAGGCGGCTTCTATAGAAGCGAGACCGCGACGAGGTCGCGGATTCTTTTTTATAAACCCTTGCGGCACGTGGCGACGTCACCCTTGCGAAGGTGAGGACGATCTTTTTGACGTCGTGCCTTTGATCTCGGGGACGAATTTTTTTCTCGGCGTGTTAAAAATTCTATGCAATTTATTCTTATCATCGATACAAATTTATCGCAAATGTCAAAAAAAAAAAAATAATAATAATTCTGTAAATTGAATAAACCAGAAAAGACTTCGTGTCGGCTTATCTGAACGACGCAAGTATCCCGATACTTAATCCTTTGTAAAGTGCAGTGATAAAAGCAAATTGTTTTATGTTTCCACAATTTTCTTTTTCTTTTTCTTTTGCAAAGAGAAAAAAAAACATCGAGTACGTGTTATTGCGGCGACGGGAATAAAAATTATTATCCGACGGATCTGTGAGGGTTGAAACGAATTTCACGGGGTGTAAAAGCAAAAGGTCTGAACAGACGAAACTGGACGTAGACGAGAAATGACGCGGTACCACGACTTTGCCCTACTTCCTTCACAAAAGTTGCAGATTGTATCTACCACCCTCCTCTCCCCCCCTCCTCTTTCTTCTCTCCCTCCCTCATCTGCCGGTAAACGGGCGAGCGGTGTGCGCTTTACGTCTCGCGCGATTATCGACTCGCGAAAAGTTTCGTCTACCGGGAAATCGAGTTTCCGATTCTTCTTCGTCGCGGAACGTCCGATCACGTTTAGTTTAACGCAAACTTCCCCGAAGAAACCCATGCGACTCATAGCCAATTAATAATGGATGCCTCCATTACACATGACGCGCTACTATGTGTCCAACAAAGACATAAAGTGGAGCTCGGCCGATCGAATTACCTCCTTCCCGTCATCAATTATTTCCGCGATTCTATTCCGACTCGCTGCTACTCGTTCCTAATCATAGTCCTTGTCTCAGTGTTGCGACGGAAAAAACATTACCGAACCGAGGCGATATTTTCGGTTCTTTTCTCTCTCTCTCTCGCTCTTGCGACGCCGTTTCTCCGTCGCGAGGGTGACCCGCCAAGATCGAAAACGAAGAAGGAGCACTACACGAAGATCGACATCTTCCGAAAGGGGGAGGTGAGGTCTCCCCGACGATCTTCGCGCTCACGCGAAACGATATACTCACTCGGTTCGCCGTTCGCCACCCTGGAACCCCTTATTTTGCCGGTTAATCGCGAAATACTGGAAGGAACTCTTGCTGCCAGATTGCCGGCACACGCGCGTCGCCTCGAGACTTTTACGAGAGAGTAGCGTGTGTTATTCGTGGTACAACTTGGGCGCAACACGGGTATAAGCAGGCGTGGAATAATCCGGGGAATTCTAAGGAAGAGAAGTGGACAGCGGTCAGCGCGGCTGCGCACTGTCGGGGATTTCAACCCCTCGCGGCCGACCGGCCGCTCGGTGTTTGTTGACGTGACGGGGTACAACCACCCCGGAAAACGAAAGTGAACGGCCCGCGATGAGCGGCGTAATTGCGATGCCGTAAAAAAATAATGGTCTTAAGATAAGACGATGCGAGACAGGGACACAAAAGTGTATGAAGTCTCGAAGATTGTTGTGGAAAATTGTTATTTCGAAGGAATTATTCGGAAAATATCAATGCAAAGTCTCTCGAGGATTATTCGAGAAATTTTTATTTCTCGGAAAATTATTCGGAAGATATCAAAGTAAAATGTCTTCACGATAAATTAATTAACTGTTAAAGTTACTTCGAAAAATATCGAAGTAAAATATATTCAGGGAAAATTAATTAAATATATCTATAAATGTTAAATATCTATAAATGACAGTCTAAATTTAGCATCTTACGGATATATAATAAGCAAACGAGAATTAATTCACCTTTATGTTTATCATAAACCTAAAATAGCAATCGCGCAAAAAGAATGCTATTTTCGATTCATCGCTAGTACGACTCGATATTAATGAGGCGCGATAATCATTAGCATGACGCAACACTAATTTGTTATTGTAGCTGATTATAAATAATACGCGCTTAATTATCATGGCATGACATTTGAAATTTCCATCTACAAACAACAGATGGAGTCAGTAGTATGCGGTTGATATTAACTTGCAGCATTACCAACGGATCGTGAAGCAAATCGATCGATATACTTAAATAACAAATCAACAATTTATAAAAATTCTTCTTTATTGTTAAATTTCATCAGTCATGACATTGTTTTTTAATCTTGTCGTTTTTTCCTGGTTCTTTCTACATCCAATCTTGCATAATATTTAAGAAAAATCAAAAATAATAAATTTTTTTATAAAGAAATTTTTTCATCTTTAAAAAAATTTTTTAGATTTTTTTACAATCGATTACGTGTTATGTATTTTTTTTGTCACGATAAAAACGATTGGAGAGGCGATCGCTATGGAGAAAACTCGTGACGCCAGACACGCATCTCGTTGCTGTCGATCCGAACACGAACAATGCGGGGTGACAGCCTGTGGATGACGGGGCAGGGGGGGGGACGAGGGAGACGTATGAATGGAGGCTGACGTCTGGGATATCGTAATGGTCATTCTGGCGCTTAAATTGGACCCGGAGCCCGATTGCATAAGCACGACAGTCACGATAGTCGACCCGTCACGATCCATAGCCGGCACTTTTGCCATTCGTATAGGTGGAAAAGTGTCATACAATCACTCGACGACTTCGTGTCGGGAATTGCGAGAGAATTTCGCGACCGCAGTTTTTCCGCGTGCAATTCAGTTTGCTTCTCTGATGCAATTTTTCAGCTTTATTTTCTTGACGCGTCGCGCGAAAATCCGCGAAATCGCTATTTCTGTTTTTCGCTACTAATCATTTTACGCTTCGCTACGAAGTTTATTTTAATCGGCCACGATATCTTGTTATAGGAAAATGAAAGAATTTCCGCGTTTGCAGAGATAAATAAATTCGGGATATTCCCGGGACGATTAGAGGGACGATTGTACGTCGTTTGTCTTTGAAATATCACCACGTCGCTCGATTCCGTCGGGTGTTTAATAAGTAAACAGAAAACTCTGGAGATGGAAGATTTAATAATAAGCGCTCGGGCTTCTCTCGGGCCGCCCTTTCTGAAAGACCACAAAATCCCCATTTTCTTACGTCATCCCCATAACCGCTGAGTCACGCCGTTCTATCGCACCCCATCGGGATATCGTAAACATTCGCCACCCTCGCGTTCACCGCTACCGGGTAAAATTTTTCGTTCGGAGAAACGCCAAGAATACGGAAGACATTCTCGCGTAATCAAAAGTTAAAACCCGATGAAGTAAGGAACAATTAGTAACCTCGATGACATATTGCTTATTAAAATCGATTAATCTCTTTCTTAATTCTTTCGTAAGAGAATTAAGTTCCGAAAATTAAGACTGATTAGCTTCTCTCTCTCTCTC